CTCGGTAGTTCAATGATTTGGGTTGTATTATTAAATGGCTATTTAGCCCCCAGACATATATCTTAGGTAAAGAGTTTTTGCCCCCCTTCTCGAATGGTATGGTTGTTGTGTGTTTTTAAATTTTGTATTGTTATGTCTTGTCTTTTTATCCCCCTGTTTGCACCCCCTTCCCTGATTGAATTGTGAGCTGCCCTGAGTCCCCTTTGGGGAAAAGGGCGGCATATAAATGTAATAAATCAATCAATCAATCAATCAAAATAATTTATTTCATCTTGCTAATAGCAATACAACAATCCTAAGCAGGTCACTTATTCCTTTTCAACCCTAACCCTTTCCCCAAAATACTGGGTTAACAATGTTCTTCAGTGTGCCATATAGGCCAGCTGCAAATATGCTTTCATTAAATTGATTTGTATTAACAGGACTAATTTTCATGAGTTATAGTGTTGCTGCTAAGAATACAGAACGTTGGGCAGAAAGACAAGATATAAATAAAATTAGTCTATGACCCAATTCAGTAAAATATGCAAGAGGTCTCCATATTTGTAGTAAGTGACTATTGTAGAGAGCATCCTCTCCTCTAAAAAAACCCCTAGTGGCACATCTACATAGTTTCACTGTCAAATGGTTAAAAAAAAAAAAAGGATTATGCAATACTGGGACTGTTTTCATTGCTAATTGCCAAGGAATCTCATGAATTAAGGAGTTCTTCCTTCAACTGGCCAATGTAGCAGCACAAAGAAGTGTTTCAGCCAGTAGCCTATTTCCATACCTCTTTGTTTTTATGAAAGAGTGGAAAAATCTTGCCCCTAAAGCATGTGATTGGCAAAATTCACCCTCAGGTACTTTTAATTCAAGAAGGGAGGGGGAATTCACTGGGCTGGGACAAAGTGATTTTGACTGCAACCCTACAGCAGCAATGAAAATGCTTCAGTGCTATGTTTACAGTGTTTTCTCTGGAAGAGCCAATGAAATGAATTTAATTAAGTCAACTAGGAAGATTCCCTCAAGACCAACTGTGTTGAAAATTGGGCATAATGCCAATCCAGATCAGCAGCCTCTGCATGGAAAGGGTTTAATTAAAGGACTAAAAAGATTGTGTAAGCTCTTCTGTCCTTGAACAAAGAAACAGATTGCAGTGTTTGCTGCCATCTAGTGATCATCTGGTTTTTGGCAGCCCAGACTGGTACCTCTGTCTTGAAAGATAGCTTATATCTGACACTCTTTAAATTCAAAAAAGGGTCAAATAATATTCCACATTACAGAGTAAGACTTCTCGTGATACATGACATTGGAGTTGGAATCCCTCCAACAAGGATGGCCAGCTTTCGGAGGCACCAGCAGACGTGATCAGAACTTTGAGAACACGGGTAGGAACATTCAGACTGTTTAGTTTTGTGCAATCACAAAACGTATTCCATGATAAATGTTGCCAGTTCCAAAACGTAAATAGTATAGGACAAAGGTAAAGAATTGCATATTCCTTTGCAGCTAAATCTTACCTTAAACAAATTGATAAGAACATAAGTATAATTATTCAAGATGTTATAACTTAGCTTCTGATAGAATAAAACATTTTCTTATCTCCCACTTGACTGATTCCATCTTTTCAGAGCTTAACCAAGCAGAATTACAAACGTATTAAGCTCGAAAACCCAGGTTTTTTTTAAAAAAATGACAACTGAAAGATGGCATTCATTATTCTTTATGGAATTGTGCTGCTTAACCAAAATCAAGTTAGTTTTTTTTTACATTTTTCTGGGCAAGCTTATATTTAAATATAAAATTGAGTATTGTAGCATGCAAATAGAACATAAAATGTACACCTACACATTCCATAAGGGTTACCATCACACTATCTTTAATTTGTTAATTTGGAATTTGGAATCTGACTCTTCAAGCACGTTTCTTACACCATCCATTTAACCAGGAGGGGAGGAGATGCAGCCGAGTCGAGATCCCGTCACCATGGGAACCATGGAGCGGAAGTCCTGGAAAGGGACCAGATCCTATAGTCGCGTTATTATGGCGTCACTAAATTCTTTCCGTAAACAAACGTGGGTTTACTTTCCCACCCAACGAAAGTGCGCGCGCATGCGTGGGAACCGCCTGCGAGGAGAGCGGGAGCTTCCGCATGCGGATGCACTTAAAACCGTTTTAACCCGTGTGGTGAATCTTTCCCTGCTTCCGGTTAACAACCCGCTTTGAAGAAGAAACACTCGAGCTAGTGAATTCAGGACAGGGGGTAGCGGACACCGCGCTTTTGGGGTTTTTTTGACCGTTGCCTGGGCATTTTATCGGACCTCTGGGAAACCCAGCGGCTGACCCCGAGCCGATCCCGCCCGCTCTCCTTTGTTGGGCGCGTCTTTCTGGAGGGGGCGCTGCCTTGACCCTGCTCCCGCATGTTTGGCCTCTTCCCGGTTTGGGAGGCCGTGGCAGGGAAGCGGATGGCGCTGCCCTCGGTTCATAGATGCGTCCAAGTGAGTGAGGAAGAGCATCTGGCCGGTGTTTCCCTTCACCTGCACCAGCCAAGGAGGGTTGGATGGCAGTTACCCTAATCCACCCCCGTTTTGGGTGGGAAAGGCAGACGCTGCAGGCAGGGCAGAAGTTCTCAGTCTGGGCTACTTTGAGACAAGTGGGAGCTCAAGTGGGAAATTGCGAGGGTTGGAGTCCACCTGTTCCAAAGTTGGCAAGTTTGAGAAACAAGCTTGGTGTAGGGCAATGGTTCCCAACCTTTTTTTGGCAATGCCGCACCTAAGCATCTCTAAAATCCTGAACACCCCCCCCCCCAATATAATTCTTACTTTACTCAAAAAGTGAACTCTACTCACTCGGAGAAAGCCTAAAAGCCATTAACTTGGTTTAAACAAGGTTCAAATTGCCCCATTAAAAATCAAATTGCCCCCCTGTGGGGCGTGGGGCCCACGATGCAGGCTGCTCCAGAGATCCACTTAGGGGAGCTTGAGGCATGCTGCTGTGGAGACCCACTTCAGGGGGAGAGAGAGAGAAAGGCGAGGTGTGGGAAGATGGTTTTTACCCGGTTTCCCAGAAATTCCTGTGTATCCTTATTCTGCAGATCCCGTGAAGTACCCAGTTTTAATGGTCAATTTTTGACATCACTCTTTAAAGAACCAAGGCCCTTTTTAATTAAGGCAATTAAAAAAATGGACATTTTTTTTCTAATGATAAATCGGGCTGGGAATGTCATGTTGGGGGTATGTACTTCACCAAAGCAGTACCGCCCCCCCCCCCCCCGCCGCCGCCCCAATATCAGGCATGCTTGTGCCTTTGGATAGCTGTGATTAGTAGGAAGGTAGCGTTAGTCTTTTCCTCCAGCAATCTCCCCACCCCGTCAACTCCAGGTTTGTGGCCCAGTTCC